AGTTCTATGTGTTGTGAACCAGCTGTGAAAATTTCAGAACGATCCAACGGTCGGATCTCTTGAAAGCTGAAATTTTGTCTCGCTGTTCAGAAAAACCAGCAACCCTTTTGTCTCTATTTCTTTCTTCTCTTCCAAAATCAAAAAACCCAGCCGCCAACATCAGCTGCCCAAGACTTCTAGAAGAAGTCAACAAAGTCCAAAATATATGGGCCACCCATCAATGGGCTGGACCCTTAACAGATTGGTTGTGGCAATAAAGCTACCTTATGAGTTATACTAAACAAAACTAGCTAGCTTTTCACTTATTAGAATAGTTGGCAGTCAATATTGTATGAGAGTGTTATTTCTTCCATCTATAATATATCATTTATCATATAATCAAAATAGTTTTCATATTGAACAACTAGTAATTAGAATAAGAGGTATCAAGTTTTTTATCATCTTGGGATTGAGGTTTTCTTCGCAGGACTTTATCATAATATTGTCATTATAATAAACTTAATTATAGATTATCTTCTGAATAGTATAAGATCAAATTCTTATTAATATATATAAATACTTTAATTAAAATCATTTTTTTAATAAAAATATCTATTAGATTGAAAATTTTAGTCTAATAAAGATAAATATTTTATCCTCAAAATGATTCAACGAATCTTAAATTGGACACAACCTTTAACAACTACCTCACATTTATTTAGATTTATAATAAAATAATATAATTGATGAAAAGTCGTTGGTCATCGTAGAAGCATTAAATTAGACAAATGATTTATGTAACAAGTTCATTGGAATTACTTGATTGCAAACACTTTTTTTTTTATTCACTCTCTAAAAATAAGGCAAAAATTAACCAAAGTTGTGATATGGGAAAAATAAAGTTGCTTGGTGTTTCACTTAGTCCATTTACTCATAGAGTTGAATGGGCTCTTAAGATTAAGGGAGTGGAATATGAACTTATAGTAGAAGATCCACAAAATAAGAGTCCTCTTCTTCTTGAATATAATCCAATTCATAAGAAAATTCCAGTGTTAATTCACAATGGAAAGCCAATTTGTGAGTCAATGGTAATTGTTGAATACATTGATGAGACTTTTGAAGGCCCTTCCATCTTGCCTAAAGATCCTTATGATCGTGCTACAGCTCGTTTTTGGGCTAAGTTCCTCGATGATAAGGTAAATGTTTCAAGATTTAAGTTAGATGCATACATATTTTGTATGAGAAATTTTCGTATTAGTAGTATTGATCAATTTGTTAGCAGATTTGTTATTGTTTTTGTCAGATTATGCATTATACTTCCACTATTTTAATTTGTTCGGCTTGATTCTAAATAGGAGGAGATCAAATTAATTGATGTTCGATTTGAAATAAACTTTGCATAGATAGAATAGATGAAAAGTTTTATTAGTTGCAACTAATAATTCAAAATATTTAAAAAGTATTTGAAAAATTTAACATCGAAGAAAATGATTTTTGACTGTTCAGATATTAATTAAAACAAATTAAATTAAAATGAAATTGAGTAACTAATTAATATCTACTAACAGCATAGAGAACTTTTATTTTATTGGGTAAAGTTAACCTAATACTTATTGTAACCTTATTTCAAGATTACAAATTTCACATTGTGTAGATAACATTTAGACAATCTAATTGTGTGAAATAATTCTGACAATATATATATAAGTTAAACTCATGCTTATAATGCGAATTTACTTTTAATGATCTGATTGTGTAAATATTTTTA